ACCTTTATGAGGTGTGAATATTCAATAAACGTCAACTAGTGTATGAGTGGGAACTTTACAATTGAATTTTCCATTCCACACCTCCAGTTCCTTTGAACCGACCCGAATTCACATAGTGATTTTCCAGGATTTTAGGCCCATCTAAAACCGCCTCCCAGAGGGCTTTGGTCTAAATCTGCGGCTCCTTTTCTCTTTTAACTCATATCATCTCTATTCTCTTTAACTTCTCTTATTTCTCTTTAACTCTTCTCTTTTCTATTTTCTTTAACTTCTCTTATTCTCGCCTCTTTTTTTTCCCCATTAATCCAATTTCCCAGGGCCCTGGGCTGTTACTTTTCACTTTTTTTTTTCCTTTTTTACCTGAGCTGACTATTTCTCTAAGTCAACTTTCACGCAGTGACTAATATACACATGTCTTACCGTTAAGAAGATAAGGGACCAACCTTCATTAATCTCGCATGGTGTTATTTAGCTCACCTTATCGTTACTAATTAGGCTATTCTACACTTTTACATCAGCTTTCCTTTTCTCTATTATACTCCCCCTTTTTATTGTGGCGTTTACAACGCAATAAACCCCAATTTAGAACGGAGAAGCACTCCAAACATCAACACAGCATGGCATGCACACACACATGATTCTTTACGGTGTGACTAGACAGCAAACACCCAACAGCCTTAACGAACAAACAAGCGCACAAACATGTGAAAATCTCACCTGAAATGCCGGCAGGTGCGGGAGTAAGTGCACTAAAGCTGTCGGCGACGCAGCCAGCCACAACACGTCCAAAGTTTGTGACGCCAAATTCTTGTTGTTTATTAAGTAGCGATGATGTGAAGATGATGAAGGAGACTCCGCTGACACCGCCTTACTTGTATAAGATGTTTATTACAAAGTAAGACAGTATCATATCAAGCACTATAAAGTACCTGACAGAGGATCTGTGCCAATTCTAAAGTGTCCCCTCCAGAACAGAATATTCCAACTGCTTATATAGGGTACTTGTTGTTGAAAAAGGAGACAGAACATATGGTCCTTTTTAAAAGAATCTCATCTATTTGGAATTAAGAGAGAGGCCCACTCCCTATGGGGGCCTTTGGACCAGGGGGCCCCCTTAACTTAAACATTCCAAAACCTGCAAAAACAGAACACATGGAACTTCAGACCTCAACTTATAGTGGAAGTTAAGAGTGTTTTTTGCCTTCTTTTATAAAACTATTCTTTTAAATATACCTCACAAGCTGAACAACGCTACCTCTCTTGCTGGTCTCCTTTATTTACTAGTGTTTGTTACACTCCAGCATACAAACACTACACTTGGAATTCATGATAACTGATTTAAAAACCACTATTGCTAAATTGATGCTCAAAAGGTGTAATTGATAAAATAACTTACTGTTTTATTTTAAAATATAAATAAATTGTAACTCTAACGTGTTTTTTAAATGTAATATATCTGTAAATGCTAGAAACGTTTCTGTAGAATGACCCATTTGTGAATCTCCACCTGACACACCAAAAAGTGTGTCAGAAAGTGTGAACAAGACACTGCATTTAATCATGTGCCAGAAAGAAACATACAATTGAAAACCTGCAAATATACAAAAAGATCACTAAAAAGTAAGTTTAAGTGTAACCAACAATCAATTTTACACAACCGAAGGCGTGATATCCAACAAAGATTTAGATTAAGGCAAAGTCAATCATTCCAGGTTTTTCCTAATAAAAAATCAACAAAAATAACAGAATACAAACCAAACAACTTTGTGCAAAGCATTGTCAACTGTTGAAATAAAACTGCTCCAATTTAAACATTTCAGCAAGATTTGTACAGACATGGCATTCAGAGTCTTTCGTTAAACTTCAGCAACACTTTAGCCCCAAAATCCTCATCAGTGACCCTGGTTCTGTTTGGGGTGAGAATCAGGCCTGAATAATCTCTCCACTGCTGCAGAGCTGTTGCGGCTCCACAGCAGAACTAGATTTTTAGGTAAAATAATATAATTCTCCTTTGCTGTAAAATCGTTATAACACACATTTCTAACACAGTTTTCACAATAGATGGTCTTAAACGCTGGAGTTAATGCATAACTGCTAATTCACCAACCTTTAACGCTGAAGACTGAAATGCACACAGAAATGCAGATAACGAAAAGGCAAAGACGAAGATTTAAGATGAAAATTTGGAGGTGAATGGACTTATTTGCATTTATAAGCACTCAGCTGGTTTCCTGATCTGTTTAATCTGCAACAACTCACTGTAGTCGCTTCTCATTCTCTTGCTTCTCGTTCCAATTGTCCTGTTCCACCTTAAATGGTGCAGCAGTACAATTTGGCGCCTCAGGCACCATTTAAGGTGGAATGGGACAATTCGAATGAGAACCAACTTCAGCCTCGTAAAAAGTCGAACATTGAGAGACATTTTACAAGAAACTTGCGAAAAAGTTTCCAGAGATGCAAGAAAAGCGGCTATAGCTGAGCTAAAGGTTAAAGCAGAGCAAAGTAAGTCTATGTTTCATTTATTCAGTTTTTAGCCTATACTCGGACATCAGCACACACTGAGATATACTTACAGGCAAGATGGTCAAACGAACATAAAATGTTGTGGCTTCCAAGGTGGTTTTATTTTTTTGAAAGGACAAAATGGCTTTTCTTAACATTTTGGTTGCCGCCCCCTGAGCTAAACCTGCTAGTAGATAAAGCCTGCTAGTAGGTAAAATCCAAAAATTCTAACCCTAACCCTAACTACAAAAGGTAACGTGACACTTAGTTACTCCCCCATCCTTGGTTATATTTATAGAGATATGACCTTAAATGACTTCTGCCTAGTAAAACAAACCCAATTCCAAAAAAGTTGGGACAGTAGATAAAATGCAAATAAAAAAAAGCATTTATTTGTAAATCCACTTTGACCTGTTTTTAAATGAAAAAAAGAAAAAAGTACAAAGACAAGATATTTGCTATTTTATGTTATCAACTTTATAGTATTTTGTAAATATACATTTATTCTGAAAATGATGCCTGCAACATGTTTCAGAAAAGTTGGGATGGGGCAATTGTTTAATTGTTCAAAAAAAACTCTTCAACAGGTGTTACAATCATGTTTGGGTACAAAGGACAATAATATACATATTGTATGTCAATACTGCTCATAAAGACTGAGTCCTTTGTGAGCAGGGATGGATTGAGGATCACTACGTTGCAAAAAAAATAATAGTAGTTTTAAAGCAACATTTCTCAATGAGGAATTACAAGGATTTCAGGTATTTCACCCTCCTCTGTGCATAATACCATCAAAAGGTTCAGGGAGAAAAGTTCTGGAGAATTTCCTGTGCCTAAAGGGCAAGGCCATAAACCACAATTGAATGCCAATGACCTTGGATCCCTCAGGTTCCAGGGCAGTGGCAATAAAAAAATAATGTTTCTCTGATGGATTACACTGCATAATTCAAGTAATGTTCACATCAACCATCAGAATGGAGGAAAAATCTAATATCAGTGACTTTGACCATGGAATAATTGTTGGTGTCAGACAGGGTGGTTTGAGTATTTCTATAACTTTTAATGTGGGATTTTCAAGCACAACAGTCTCTAGAGTTTATTTAGAATGGTGCAATAAAGAAAAATCATCCAGTGAGCTGCAAATTTGCAGGCAAAAATGCCTTGTTGATGAAAGAGGTCAACAGAGAATGGCCAGACTGGTTCGAGCTGACAGAAAGGCTATGGTAACTCAGAAAACCACTCTGTACAATTGTGGTGAGCAGAAAAGCATCTCAACATGCCCAACACGTTGAACCTTGAGGCAGATGGGCTACAAAAACAGACCACATTGGGTTCCGTTCTGTCAACCGAGAAAAGAAAGCTGAACATGCAGTGGGCACAGGCTCACCAAAACTGGACAGTTGAAGACAGTTGAAGGAAAACATAGCCTGGTCTGATGAATCTCGATTTCTGCTGAGGTACACAGATGGTAGGATCAGAATTTGGCATCAACAGCATGTATTCATGGACCCAATCAGCCTGGTGTCAACAGAACAGACAAGTGGCGGTGGTGTAATGGGGTGGGGAATGTTTTCATGGTTTATTTTGGGTCCCTTAATACCAATCAATTATCGCTTAGATGCCACAGCTTTTTTGTGTACTGTTGCTTACCACATGCATCCCTTTATTTATCCATTTTCTAATGGCTACTTTTCCGCTTTACAGCGTGCCATGTCACAAAGCAAAAGTCACCTCAAACTAGAGTTATGAACATGACAATGAGTTCAGTGTTCTTCAGTGGCCTTGCCAGTTGCTGTATCCATTGGATCTGTATCGAATTTACACCTTTGGGATGTGGTAGAACAGGAGATGTGCTCCATGAAAGCGCATCAGGAATTGCATTATGCCATCATGTCAACATGGGCCAGAATCTCAAAGGAATGTTTCCAAAATCTTGTGGAATCCATGCCATGAAGAATTGAGGCTGTTTTTAGAGCAAAGGGAGGCCCTACCTAGGATTAGCATAATGTTCCTAATAAAGTGCCTGGTGTGGGTATGCTGCCTAATAGGCAATGTCTTTTTCAGGGAAAAACAGAATTTACTAATCGCTGCTTTCTGTTTTTATTAGCATTTTACGTGCATGCTTTCCCAACTTTTTTGGAATTGGGTTTGTAGTTGTGGAAAAAACGACATAGGTAAATTTCACATGAAAACAGTATTTATCAATGCATAGGTCACTTCACAGAGTCTCCACCAGGGAAGCCCCCCCCCCCAACATCTGCCACATTTCAAACTCTAGACTTACTCTGTGTGGGTCTGGAAGCTCAACTGCAAAACTAAAGAAGCAAACTTTGGGAACCAAACATGTTTTGGCTGAATTATCCCTTTAAAGTTGCTTTATCCACTTTCTATGTCGAGACCCAGATTTAACAGATTTAATGCACACTGAACTCTTTGCTTGTGTTTGTGTGTCTATGTTGTGTGACTGTCTATGTGTTTGTGTGTGTGAACTGATGTAGGCTTTATCCTGGACTCAGTGGTGAGTGAGTTAAATCCCCAGACAGTGCTGGAATTGGGGACATATTGTGGATACTCTGCTGTTCGTATTGGCCGGCTGTTGCACTCTGGTGCCCGGCTGCTGACTCTGGAGTTTAACCCGGATTATGCTGCGGTGGCCCGGGAGGTCATTAGCTGGGCCGGACTGAAGAACACTGTAAGAGCCACAAAATACAAGTTGCCAATATATACTATGTACTAAACCATTTACTATACTTCTAAATTAACTGTCCAAATGTAGCATTCAAAATCAGAATCCAAAATCATAATATATAAATAATAAATCCATAAAATGTACTGCTTTTGAAAACAACTGTGGCTGAAAAGCTTACATTTAATGAATTTAATGCTTGTGCATTAGTGTAATATGTGAAGACCAACAGAAGAGCTGCTGTTCCTAAAGTAACTGAGAATATCAACGCAGAATGTCAGCAAGAATGGTCCACAACTACATATAGAGGGTCATAGGAATAGATTAGAGAAATGCAACTACATGTTGCACACACCATAATGCCTACTTATGTAAAATGGAACATGAAAAAGGTTTTGTGCAAGGTGAGCAAAATATGAGGCAAGTTTCCCACAAAAAGGGCAAAATACACAGCTATGAAAGTCCTAATCAGGACTTTTAGAATAGCATACTAGAATATGACCTCTGAAACAAGTGATGTCCAGGGTCTGAAGGATTCTCCAGATGCTTCTTTGTCATATATTAGAATATCATTGCATCTTATCAAAGCTAACTCCGTAACTGTTTTTTTTTTAATTATTTATTTTTTACATTTGAAAACATCAGATGCCATTTACATTATATGTACAATTCATTCTGAATGAACTAATAGAAAATGCAAAGTTAGCATAAAATTGACCATTTGAGAAATTTTGGTTTTGCTACAAGAGCAATGATGTAAATCTGTGACTAAGATAATGGTAAAATGTTTTTGCTCCATTGGCAGGTGCAGCTGGTGGAGGGGGCATCTGGGCACTGGATTCCACACCTCAGGGAACACTTTGGGATTCATACCTTTGACTTTATTTTCCTGGATCACTGGAAAGAACGCTACCTAGCTGATATTAAACTACTGGAGGTATGGAAAGTTAACAACAGAAATCACAACATTCTCAACAATTTCATTTGTTATATCTTTAAACTTTAACGATGTAACTTTATATCTTTAAACTTTAAATGCTGCAATTTCCATTCTGAATCAATAAAGTTCTATCTATCTATCTTTCTGTCTATATATCTATCTATCTATCTATCTATCTGAAATTCGACAAAGTGTACGAAAGTTGGAATTGCATTTTCACACCCTGTTGAAAGACACAGCTTAGATCAGCATGAATTCCATGTGGTTTATGTTGGTCCGGTGCTGGTTTAGTCGGTCACCAGTACATAAACTCAACATATACTGGTTTTGGTGGTGATCACCATAACAGCTTCCATTGCTGCTGATCAGCATACCAGCATCCAAAACACAGCCTATACATTTATAAAGCTTCTTTTGAACTGGAGCTATGAGGCAAATGTAGCTAACAAATAATGGAAGCTTATACACAACCAACTCACCAACACATGCCTCAAACTGCATTAAGTTGTTAAGTAATTGCAAGTAAACTAGCCTGTAGTCTCTAACACTGTATGACAAACTGCTATCTACAAAAATACACAAAGGTACAGACAAAATTCAGGCTTCAAGATGACTGCTACTATTAGTCTGATTATTAGTCTTAGGCTCTCATTACCTGATTCATGACATTCTCTATCACCGCCCCCTCTTTTCCTCACTGAAGGAGTGCAGGCCTTTCCGGAAAGGCACTGTCCTGCTGGCTGACAACAATGTCTGTCGAGGAGCTCCAGATTATCTGGAATATGTGCGCAAAAGTCCGTTATACGACAGCTGGTACTTTAAATCTCACCTGGAGTACACAAAAGCAGAGGAATGCTTGGAGAAAACAGTTTATCTGGGTTAGACTGGCCCCTGCTGGACGCTTTAGCCTAAGGCTTTTGTTTTGTTTTGTTTTGTGTTATATGTTATTAATATATGTTATATATTAAATGTGTTAATATAAATTATATACTATATATAACATATAAAAGCAGTGTTACTTAAAGGGGGATTCTGACCTAAAACTAGAGCTTAATATGTTATTTGTTGTGTTCTGCAGTATTCTGTAGCTTAGCATTATACTCCTCACCCTCATTGAATTAAAAACTGTTATATGGCTAATTAGCTATTAGCTTCCCAGCAGTAAAGTTAGCTAACTGATTTCTTCTGCATCCGGCAGCTAGTGAAAAAACAGCCCACTCCAAAAATCCACCCCTAAACAGTTGTAGTTTTTTAAAAGTTGCTCCCACCTTCAAGATACATCATCAGAAGGGGTCTTTTTCTAGTATTTACATAAGAAAATCTCATTGCGACAACACTGTAGAAGGCAAATCGGAATGAGATTAAGCAATGGTTCATTGTTCATTTTGGCCAGACTGCCCCTTTAAGTAACTCAGCATCCCTGCATTGCCACAATAAAGTACTAACCTTGCTGTACCAGAAGAGGGCAGAATCATACTGACCACACTCCTCCATAACAATCTTCATGCAGAAGTACTTTATAATCCACACATAACTGAACTAACATTATGTTTAATATGAGACAGTATGCTTATGATGTAACTTATTTGCATTTGAATTATTTTAATGTCTTGCTACATGCTTTTAACTTACCAATAAAACAGTTCTCTTTTGTTTGCCCTTTTTATTCACACTCACTGGCAACTTTCTTAGGTACACCTACCTTGTATCCACACTGATTGTCCATTTTACCCAGCCCACTTATCATGTTAATGCACATTGTATTTCTCTTCTTAAGTTTTGTAATGTATTCTGATCCATCTGCATAATTTGTTGGCCGACCCCCATTACTCTGTTTATTAATGATCAAAGCCCGCACAGGTCCCCACAGGCCCACCACTGGGGGTTATATTATTTCAGCACTGCAGTGACACTGACATGGCAGTGTCATGGACGATGACTGTAAATACAAAGTAGGTGTACTTAATGCAGAGACCAAAGAGTGTATACATATTCACATTATTACACATATTAGGAGAAAAAGATTTTAATCTAATTTTACATGTATTATGTATATAATGTACACAGCATTCTCCTTTTATTTAATTTCCAGTCAAAATGGCCAATTAGCACAAGTTATTCTTTTTTCAGTGCAAGAAAAGCAAAAAGCATATTTAACAGAAGGTTACACAAAAACCTAAACAACTGAGTATATTTGTTTCAGTATTTAGTGTATCCACCCATTGTCTTTATTATTCCTTTCTTTTTAGGAGTCTTGCTTCTCACCGTTCAAGTAATCCCAAACACATTCTGGGGACCACTGGGGTAGTCAATCCATTGTCCTGAGAAGACCAGCTTGTTTGCTTGATTTGTAGCTTTTCTTCTTTTTTGTCTATTCCCTTTTCTCATTAACGGCTTCTAAACAGGTACACATCTATTCAGACCCATAGTGTGTCTTCTCATAATGTAAGAATGGACACAAACACCTTTGGATTATTTCAGATCTGAAGCAAGAGTGAAGCTTGATTTACTCCAATCACTCAAATATGAAAGCTTTAAGTACTGTTTTAGCATTGGTGGTCTACCAGATCTTGCACAGTTGTTAGGAGTCACACTTCAGTGCTCCTAGCATGAATAAGGGGACAAGAATTTGGAGCTTTGGAGGGCTACAATAGCCATCAAGCTTCTGGCAGCAACTGGATGCTCCCTAATTTGGCTCTCCTCCTTCCAGACTGGGCACAATGTTGCTGACCCATATTTTAACACTTTATCAACACAACAGGACAAATCCAACAAACAGTTCAACAGTTCATTAGTGTAGCATGTTCACATCATCACTGAAAGACATGAAATAAAATCACATTCAGCAAAATGTTATTAATACTGCATCTGTATTATTTTTTATTTTCTATGAAATCCCATTTCCATTCCGGGTAGACATGAAAGAAATCACATATGTCATTTTTTTCCTTCTCTGTTTCTGTCAGTTTGTCAACTATTTCACTTAGCGTCTCAAAATAATGATTTATTTACTCAAAGTTATGCATTGTTAAGAAAAAAAGTCCGACATCCCTGGTGAAAATACCTGATGCTGGATTAGCTGGTCACCCAGCATAGTCATACCAGCATTCATAACACAAAATATGCTGGCTTTGCTGGCGACCAGCTGTGCTGGTCTGTGTTTTTTTTCTAACAGGGATCCGCAGGAAATTGCAGGCGAGATTTTCCTCGTCAACCTGGTGGGAATGGGCTTCCATAATTTTCTGCCAGAGTGTGCATTTATTTCTCTTCTGCTGCTCTTTGGTGGGTCATATGAGCTAAACATTATACACTATCGTTTAAGAGGTCACGTGACCCTAAGGCTAGCTAGATTATCTCGCTCTGTCTCTTACTTTTTCTTCCGACTGCGGTAAAAAAAAAGAAAAGAATAAAAAAAAAGAAAAAACAGAATAAACAGCTCTAAATATTGCCTTTGAGGCAATAAAGTGACATTCTGTTGCTCATAGCATTACTGCCTTCCACTCACACTGCAAAATGGAGAAAAGCTATATTCAGCAAAGTGTGCATAAAATATACATATACATACACTACCTCACATACGCACTGCTGTAATCCCAATCTGAGCCATTAGTGCAGAGAGCGAGAGTGAGAGCTGTGTGTGTGTGTGTGCATGCGTGTGTGCATGGGGAGGGAGCTTTTAAGGGATTTGACTGTGATTTGTAGACGCAGTTGTGGTGTGTTTGTGCTTTTGCACTTTTCTCTTCTGCGCTCCTCCATTACTGTCCAGCCTCCACTGGTCCTCTCTCATATTTTCTGACGAAATTAAACTCAATCTGTACTCGACCTCTCTCTGAAACCGGTTTGAACTCGGCTAAAGGGAAATGTGAGGCAAATTCGGAGTTTTTGGATCCTTTTTGCTCTAAAGCGTTTTGCGGATGGAGGAGTTGAGCAGCGCTGCCAGAGCGCAGCCTGAGGTAAGTATGAGAACACAATTGATTATAATCAGCATCAAGATATTAATCTGTTTTTCCCGCAGTTCTTTAATCACTGATAAAAATTTCTCCCCGGTTTTGAACTCTTTTTGTCTTGAAACGCACTGGTTAGACTGGGAAAAGCGTTACCGTCCTACAGCGCCCTCTGGCAGACAACGCAATTAAAGGGGAACTCCACCATTGTTTTAAAGTTTTAAAATTTCTGCATCATTCAATCATTGAGTTGTAAATAAAGTTGTTTGTGAAATGGTTAATCGTAGAGAATCTTACCAGGTCGGGTTTCTTTATAGTGTTGGTGAAAGGAACCAGGGGTCACGATGTCAATGCAAACATAGCCATTTTGGTCACTATTCATACCCACCAGTTAACCTACAAGTTTGAGTTTTTTTATAAATAGTTTTTATATATAATGTTGATGATGGTAATGATAGTGGTAAATCTGAAAAAAATCTTAAGGAACTATTTTTGACTAACAATGTCCTGTATATACGTCTCTGATATGAGTTAAATCAAAATATATAATATTTTAGGCCAAAGCATTCTCAGAACTATCATAAAACAACATCTCAGGCATCAGGCAGTATATTCATAACCATTTTGTGTAATAACTTTCTGTGAGGTGGCTTTTAGGGGCATTAAGCTCTTCTGATGTGTGGTTCCTCTCATCACCACTGCAAATAATTTTCACTCAGTAAGATTCTCTAAAAGCATTTCACATCAAACCACTTTGAATGACTTTGTTCACGTCTTTCCAATTTAATTGTGTAGAAATGCTATAAATTGGTGGATTTCCACTTTAACTCTGCTGGACTCAGGATTTTAAAGAGGAGTTACTCTCTACACACTTTCCAAATTTCTGCATGAATTGATCATTAAGATGTAAACAAAGTCATTCAGAGTGGTTTGATATGAAGTGTTACATTCTAGAGAAATTTCTGAATTTCACAGTGGTGGTTAGGAACCAGACGTCTAAAGCGTTTAATGTCCCTAAAAAACATCTCACTGAAAGTTATTATTCAAAATGATTATAATTACAGTGCCTGACACCTGAGATGATAGTTTTAGGTTCTTGCCTAAAATGTGTTATTCCGGTTCCGGCGCGGTGTGTAGCTGCAGTGGCCACTTTGGGAACAACAAAATGGTGCTTTTTTGCTTTTTTTTTTCTGTTGTGTAACCCGGCTCAAAACTCAAAAATCATGACTCCTCTCAGAAATGAGTGCTGTGTCGGCGCTGCACTGTCCTGGCTATTTACTGTATCTAATGTCTGTTTTATTTATTGAATTTATTGTATTGTCTCTAGTTTAATTTTTTTGCACACTTACGTCTGCACGTTTACACTTTGTACTGTCTATTTTATTCCATGTTCCATTTCACTCCAATGTGTACATAGATACAATTTTTACTGTGCTCAAGTAAACGATATATATAAATAATACATGCTGTTTGTTAATGTGAGATATTATTCCATTACTATTCTGATTTTAATACAATGTATAATATAATGTGATATTTTTAAACTGCTATAACTATTACTAATATTAACTATAACTACTATTTATATATAACTGCTAAAAAAGCTGCTGAGCATCTGATACTCAGTGTAAGTGCAGTAATGTTATATAATGTAATGTCATGACTCAGTTTAATCTTTTTCACAGCCATAAAAACTCCCTTGTGAAATAGACGATGGTGATTTATGAGGGAAAACGTCCTGAGGTGACATTAATCTATACGAACAGGGATTTTTTTTCCTAATGAAATCTAAGTGATCTAAAGTCTAAATGAGGAAGATGCTGCTTTCTTCTCATAATCACATTTAGTGCATGGGTAGAATAAACTGCTACCTGTTCTATCTAAGCAGTTTCTGAAGGAGTATAGCTGTCTTAATATGGATAGCATGGATCATTTCCAAAAAAAGTTGGGACAGTATGTGAAGTGCAGAAGAAAAAAGAAAGCAATGATTTGTAAATCCACTTTGACCTGTATTTATGTATATGAAAACAGTATACTGTTAATACTTTGTATAGAAAGAGAATATATTTTTGTTTTACCTTATCTTCCTTGTTATTTTTGGAAATATATAGTGATTCTAAAACTGATGCCTGAAACACGTTCCAAAAAAGTTGGGACAGGGACAATGTAAGATTAAGAAGACTGTGAAATGTTCAGTAAACATCTCAAACAGGTAAACAGACGCATCTAGGAAAGGCAAGGATGGGCTGTGGCACAGCACTTTGTAAAAAAAAATGCATCAACAAATAATCCAACAATGTTTCCATGCGATTGCAAGGATTTTAGATATTTCACCTTCTATGATGCATAACATCATCTAAAGGTTCAGGGAATCCAGAGAAATCTCTGTGTTTAAAGGGCAGGGCTGAAAACCACAACATAATGCAGATGACCTCCGAGTTCTGACAGCATTAGAAAACCGGCATGCTTCAGTGATGGATATCACCACATGGTGTTTATAAACAGCGTTTGTCGCTGCATCCACAAATGCAAGTTAAGCCCTTTGTCTACAAAATCCAGAAATGCCACTGACTTTTCTAGGTGGAGACATGTTCTGTGATCTGTGAGTCAACCTAAAGAAGAAAAGGACAATCCAGGTGGTACCAGCATAAATTCAAAATCCATTAATTTGCACATATGTGAAGGGACCATTGATACTGAAAGATAAAAACATTTTAAAGCATCATATATATCATATTAAAGCAACATATGCTGCCTTTTAGATGCTGACTTTTTCAAGGCCTATGTGCAGTCCAGACAGGTCTCCATTGAAAACGTGGCATATTATGAAGCGCAAAATATGAAAACGAAGGCCTGTTCATAAAAGGAAATGGTAAAAATGCTCCTGTCCCAACTTTTTTGGAATGTGTTAGAGGCATCTGACTATAAATATATAATGTATATTTACAGAAAAGAAACAATAAAGTTCACAGGGTAAAACATCAAATATTGTGTTTTTTGTATTGTTTTTCAATTTAGCACAAGTCAAACAGAATTTACTAAACACGGCTTTCTGTTTTTAATAGCATTTCTCATACTATCTGAAAAAAACTGAATTGTGTGGAACTGTTTAATACAGTTCACAAGGTCAAAATCTTTTCTGTGTTGTCTCACTATACATTAAAATTCTTAGGTTTGAAAAGAAAGACAAATACAGACATGCAATATAGTGCAAGTGAACATACAGTGGCCCCAAAAAGTGACCATACTTGTTTTAAGTTTGTATTAAGTTAATTGTATTAGGAAGCAAGTGACACTTACAATAAAGAGACCATTCTAGATCTGTAATTTTATTTTTGGCAAAGTATCATTAAAAAGGCAACTGGTGTGTTATTGTATGAGCAGTTTCTTTACAGACTTCTACATGTCTGCTTCCAAAATGGCTTTGTACACTGAATTTATAATCCTTTCTCTGAAAAGAATTCATCTTGTTACACATATTAGTAGCCTAAAGGATTTCTTTTAAGCATACCAAAAGTTTAAAGTGTCCAAATACATTTTAGGGCCACTGAACAAGTGCAAGTCCAAATGCAGAAAAACAAAACGAGATAGGTAACATACTGATGTGCAGTGTGTGCCAGCTTGGTAGCAGCAGTTCTGGAGGTTGTAGTATTTCAGCAATAAAGTGTGATATGTCCAATAAAAAGTAGTCCAATTTTTCATGTACAATCACACATGTTCAGCAGGATTTTACATTACAGCATAGTATTTTTAACTAATTTCACAGTTATAGCTCTTACCTTGGAAATGATTTAGTCAGGTGGCTTGTCTATTTTCTATTTCTGTTTTTCACAGTAATAACTCATTTCTAATATTTTCTCTGTCTTCATTTATATGTGACAGGCTTAAATGCCCTCCCACCCACTTTGCTTATTTTCTCCCTGTTATAGTGCTTAATACCCAAATTTGACCACCAGCTGCCACTGTATTCAGTGCATCATGAAATTTTAAATTTCACCACAATTTATTTTGTTGTTTTATCATGAAAACCCATTCATTTACATATATTTGCCAATTCAGTATACAGCAGTTTAACCTCACCCATTCTCCTAGACTGCTTTATTAATGAGGCACAATACAGAGCAGGCAATCAGAACAGTGGTAATTTACACGTCACTCTTAAATGCACAGTAACAAAAATAGCCTGTTCAATTCTAAAGGATAAAGAGAAGTTGGAAAACAGTTATATTAAAGTGAATTGTTTTTGGTAAATAAAACCCACACAAACATAGAATATGACTATTGATATCTATTATGTCATGAGGATACGTGATATGAATGAAAGCCCAGATTGCAATTATATTTGCTACTTATTACAACACAAATGTGACTGAAAAATGTTCACACAGTAGTGGAATATAGACAATAAAACCAATAATATCAATAAAACCTAGCATTTTGTTCATTATTAAAAAAATAAGCTGTGTATCACGGTGATTTAGACACAGATGCGGAGTAAAATCACTTCAACACAAGGTCTCGAGTGGCTAACTGTTCTTATTAAATAGCAATAAAATGTTCTTTTTTTACATTTTCATAGTAATAGTAATACAATAAACAATTCTGCTAAGCAATGTAATCCACAAAAAATAAGCTATAGTGGTTAGGCAGCATATTGGTCAAATATTATTCCATGAACAATACAACAGCTTTTAGTAACTTGCCAATACAGAATATACTTTGTATGTGCGATCATACTACAAAATAAGAGTACCAAAAAAGAGTTCTTTGCGTGATGCCATAGACGATACAAAAAACTTTATAGAACCATTTTTGTAAATGAGATGTGCTAGTGTGAAGAACCTTAAAAAGTTTCTAGGAAGAACTCTTAAATTTGTACAGAACCTTCATTTTATGTGAAGGCTCTTTAAACCTTTAAAAGGTTCTTTACACTCAGTTATCTCTTTCCAAACATTGTTCTTTAAGGAGCCAAAGTTGGTTCTTCCATGGCTGAGTTCTTTACATCCATACCTTGAATCCAGCTTTTTTTGTCCTGGATTTTGTGTTCACTAGGAGGTATGACCTTAGTTAACCACTCATTTACATCAACTGTTCAGTCAACTACCAGTGATTTCAAAATCCAGGACTGGACATGGAATAGACCTGTCTTCTATTGCATTGCTCAAAGAACACTGTGGTACCTGTTTTTAAAGAGTATATATGTGTATAGCTAGTATTTTACAATGGCTCTAAATGTGACTCAGCCCAGAACTATCAGTTATATTAAATCAATTCGAATGTTCCAGAGTTTATTCATATTGCCACCTCCACCTCTTATTTCTAATCTCAGTGTGATAACTTTGTCGTCCCTATAGAATCCACAGGTAAAGCGCCAGAAACCCCTGCACTACGACAGAGGATTGTGTGAACTGGCCTGGAATCAGCCATGATGCCACGTCTGGGCACAGCTGGACCATGCCTGTGTTTTGGATCTTTTTTACTGGTCCATTTCCTGTGCAGCCTGCTGCTGGGGCTGGCCGCAGGGTCCCGCACTTCTTCAGGCACGCAGCCGCACTCAATAAAGATAGAAGGAGATATTACACTGGGTGGACTTTTCCCAGTCCACTCACGGGGTCCCGCGGGTGTCCCCTGTGGAGATATTAAAAAAGAAAAAGGAATCCACCGTATGGAGGCCATGCTGTATGCTCTGGACCAGATCAACAGTGACCCTGACCTGCTGCCCAACATTACGCTGGGAGCCCGAATTCTGGACACCTGCTCACGAGACACATATGCTCTGGAGCAGTCTCTGACCTTTGTCCAGGCACTCATCCAGAAGGACAACTCGGACGTCCGCTGCTCTAACGGTGAGCCACCAATCATTCCCAAACCTGAGCGTGTGATTGGAGTCATTGGAGCCTCAGCCAGTTCTGTGTCCATCATGGTAGCCAATGTATTACGTCTCTTTGCGGTGAGTGCACTTTTGGATTGTTAAAGAAAGTAGTTCATCCCAAAATGTAAAAATGTTTTGTGTTGTCAAGAAAACCCATTCATTTACATATATCTGCCCATTCAACCTATAGTCCGCTGACTCACTCTGAAGTTATAGTGTGTGTTTTGGTTTAGACTTTTTTTTCAAAAGATGTGAGGTTATACAAGGACCTAAAGAAAAAAAAATAAAAAAGCAAGAAAATGCAGGACATAGGCCTTTACATTTTAATATCTATTAATGTCATAAGGCTGCATGATTTGGATGAAATTCCATACTGAGGTTACATTGCTACATATTGTTATGATATAGCAATCTATTAAAAATACATTAGTGAATCCTTAATGTCATGCAGTTAAAGGCTGCTCTGTTTTATTTTTTACTAAAACTTCTTTTTGTTGGATCATATGAATATGTTGATGCACCCAAATGCTCAGTGAAACTTCTCTAAATCTCTGTGATTGGAGAATGGATCGTTCTCACAGCACACAATAAAAAACGTGATTGGTTAGAACTAACAGCGTGACCTTTTACACCCGACTTGCATAATGGAGTTATGGAACCTGAAGTGAGGGAGGTGGACCATACATGAAGCTCCTTCTGTTTCCAGTCTAACGTCCTATAAATCTCCTATTTCTACCTTTTGTTTCCTGTGACAAAATTTCCACCATTACCCCATTTCCTCCCTGTTTCTCATTATCTCTCAGTTCTACATCTGTTCATTAAGGGGTGACCCAATGTTTTAGCTTAAAGCAGAAGCCATTTAGAGCTCCAGCGCAGGTCATCAGTGTTCTCTCTCCTCCCACAGTGAGCTCCTCCCCTCCTAAAACTGAGCAGGGTGATACAAGTTTTACAACCTCATAGAAACTATGAAAGAACGTAATTGGTGGATCAAACATGGATAATTCAGTAAAACAGGTAGTTCCGGTTCTAAAATCGGAAGTTAATTACGCACACCTTTGACCGTCTCACAGCAATCGAATTCTGTATTACTGCACCAAGATATTAAAAATCATTTTGATGTTTATGGAATTATTTCTGACCGTTGAGTTGGACCACCAAGTGTATAGATAGGATCAGGCATCAGTATGTATATTAAGAAAAACATAGCCAACCCTACATTACAACCCAGATTTGTGTAGACCGATCTCCATGAATTTTTAGTAAAAGGCTTTGAAGGTAATTATTATCTGTGAAACTGCAACGTGCAAAAGATAGAATATCTTGCTTATGGTATGTGTGGTGGCACATGTTTACAATAATATGACAAAAAAAAAAAAGAAATGGCAGCAATATATGATGATGTACAAATGAAAGATTCTCGCTCAGTGGTCCATGGTGGCAACAAAATTTTATTCCAAACAACTACACTCCTTGGCCAAATAGTTGTGATTATCATTAAAAATAAATTACCCTTGCGCTTTGCATCCTGTCAAACAACCTGTAGTACAGTCACTGTAACACACAGCCTCTTGTGGTTTATTGTTTTATTACAGTAATCAATCTAAATGAATTATCATATAAAATATTACAGAATTAATGCTTTATAATGGTAATGCCTAGATCTACCAGGAACTGTCTGGAGTCCAGGCTTTACTCTCTGAGTTTCTTATTTTAGCTCATTCCACCCTTGCTTTCTCTTCATTTACCTAAAAGGGTGGAAGTGTCTCTTAACTCAAAAGACTACATACAGTGTGTGTGCGCATGTGTTACTCGATTTCCTCCGCTGCTCTGAGCTGTATTGGGCCGCATGCTGCTGCTGGCAAATTGCAGGCTGCAGTGCTGTAGATAGTGGCACAGGAAGTGGAACTAATTCTGTTCTGAGCTTCTAAAAGGTTTGGATAGTGTTTCAGCTCACTGGCCTCTACAGCAAGAGCTTCTTCAAAAGACAGCGCTTTCTCTTTCCTTATTTATTTCTTATTTTATTTCAGATCGTCTTTGGAGAGCTGATAGTCTTTTTTGCAGACCAAGCACAACAAATAAAAAGTAGATGCTGCAATACTTCACTTACAAGTCAAACTTGGCTTTGAAATCATGTTGTTGCTGTAGACTTGTAGAATTTGCGTGTAAGTGTACACTTGTTTAGGTGTGTACAGTGTGTGAAGTGCAAGAGGTTTTGACACAAAGCTGTAGGCACTGCAGGAGCTCTGTGTGTGTGTGTGCGTGCGTGTTTTATTATTATTCTCATAATAAATACATAAATGCATGTAGAGCTATCCGCTATTGTAGTAATCCAGGATGATCATCAGGATTTTCAGTGTGTCTTATGTAGAACTGTTTAAAAGTAGTTGTAGGTGAAAGTTTGCGATTTACCTTTGTGTGCTTGGCAAAAAAAATAAAAAAATTATAAATAATAGCAAAAAAATTCTTAGACCAAGATAAAAGGAAAAAGGAAATTTAATATAACATCAAGACATTTTGATGATAAACAGTACATATCAGTCGGACACCAGCAAAACAGTAGTGTTGCACTAAGAAAAAGGAAACCTTTTATGAATATAACATTTTTTTTTAATTCAGTGTTTGCAAAACAAACAATTTAAGAAGAAACAGAAGGATACACCAAACAATGTATAAAAATAAAAGAGCAAAATTAGATAATGGCATAATGGTAACATGGCAGGAGCAGAAAGGACTGGTGTATCCATGAAACAAGTAAAAGCGAGAGAAACAAATAGCACTAAACCAGGCATGATAAAATGTTTATATCACAGTAATTACTTATTATTACTTTTTATTTTACTTTATTTTACATTTTATCACAGGTTATAATATTATCATGATGTTATATTTTTTAAAATGCTACATGTATAAAGCTAAACACACTGTATTCTCAATGATAGCAGTACTGTGAAAGTTGTTATAATTGTTTCGAATTAAAATTGTGTAGAATTATCATATAGGCCTATGTACAGTGACAACTGGAGCTTAGAACCTCTGCCATTTAGCAATACAACCATTAAGAGCTGTGTAAGTGCTCCAAATATAAAATAAAGCAGAGCATATGCCAGATATTTCTTAAACTTTTTAAATCATCGAATCGTAACCATGCATCAGCTGTGCATATCATCATATAACAGTGCTGAATGTGGACACTGTACTTCATAAGTTTATTTATTCACCGTTACAACATGGCTAACTTCTACTAGCACCATAATGGCTTTCCCACATTATGTTAGCATCAAGCTAATGGCTTAATACTGCACAGCTCTTGCCTACTTACAGACATGTGAAACCTGTAACAGACATTCAGGTTACATATTCATAATTCATTTATACTGAATCTTTCACTAAACATTTAAACTTAAAGCCTATCTCTGTAGATTACTGTATTAGCCTCTCAGCAGTTAAACAAAACAATGTTTAGTATGGTTTCAGGTTTTTCGCTTCATATACACACACAATTTATGAGTGCAGACATATGTTTGTTCATGAGATCCTGCATGTGTTCCTCCTCTAAGTAGGGTGGGATGTGAGATTTTACCTTTTAGATGGAGGAAAAAGTTCTGAGTGGGATCTCTGTGCTGTGCTGTGAATGTTTATGTGTGTCCAGCCCTAGCATGGTAAAAGATGACAAAAAAGTACTTATAAACGAAGCTTTCTGCATTAAACAGTGTTATGTTACGATATGTTTATTATTACACAACAAAAAGATAAAAAGATCATGAAATAACTACAATACACAGTGATGGGCGACCAAACATTCTTCTTCTAATTCAGCAGTCCATGGTTGATTGGCAACGATAAGGAACTACATTTCTTGGCAGAATACTTGTTTACGTCAATTAATATTAATATTAACTTAAATTATTTTCTGAAAATTTCTGTATTTTATCATATTTTATGTTGGCCACCATTTTATACAAGAAATAAATGACTTGAGGCCGTGCTTTACTGTAAAAAAAGGTGCAACACTGACTCTGCAACATAGCAATATTAAAAACTTAAAACCATGATGTTTTGGCCCAAATGCAAGAACATATTAAATAAGGGGGATGCATCACATGAAGACCTTGTAAGTGGGCTAAAATATCATGTTTTAACTATATTAAAGTGTTATTTAATACAGAGAGGAAAAAACTGTGTGTGCTGATGTTTCAGAACAGTGTGCAAAAGTCAAAGACCACGTTTTTCATTTATTTAATTTCCTCTCAAAACAACCTTTAAGTACAAGATATACATTTTTCACAATCCAACTAATCCCATTTACAAATTTAGACTCATCAGTCCATAAAACTTTGCTCCACATCTCAGATGTCCAGTGTCCTAGTGCAAATTTTCTTCTTTTTTTTCTATTTCTTTTTCTCAGTACTCTTGAGTCTAAGCTGGTTTTCTGGCTGCTGCTGCCGCCGTTCCTAATCAGATATGTTTTTTCCTCCGAACCTCTTCAGATGCTTTGAATTACAAGTTTGTTAATGAGCAAACATACGATTATTTCTACATGCAAGCTAACAATGCACAGTGAATTGATGTTGTAAGACTGGCAATCTCACCAAAATACTCTATACAAACCACCAAGCTTTGTCAAATCTGGTAGTTAAGTTGCTTTGTAGACTACAGTGTGACTACAGTTTGAATGTTGAAGTTTAATAGTAAACTTACTTTTATGTGATGTCAATTAAATGCACAGGCATATTAGTTTGCTTGTAGCGCATATGTAGTATTATTTTTATTTTGACTGCTTAACAACCTTGTAATCCAGAACAACCAGTAACACTGGGGGTGGGGGTGTACACAAACATAATAGTTTTGGAGCATGTTTGTTTACTACAGAGGTGATTTTAGAAAATGCCATTCATTTTTGTCTTAGAGAAATATTGCTTAGACCCCGAGTTCCTAATATGGGCATGACACTGACCACAGAATGACGCTCAACTTCAGAGGTCTGTTACTCCAGCGTAGAGTACACTAAGTATGACCCAGTCTCTGGTGGATCTGTGATAATGAGCAGCTCCACATACCGTTGAAATTCCTAATGCATG